TTTCTGTTTGTTGGGGGTGGGGGGGGGGGGTCGCTGTTGCCATCCTTTCTAACACTCTGGATTTTTTGCATGCAAGAACAAAAACGTATTTAAAAATCTATGCCAATTTGATGATGCTTTTTTAAATTATTATTATTATGATTATTATTATGATTATTATGGATTTTCATTTGTAAAACAATTTTAGGTCACTTGTTTTCTTTGCCAAACTTTTAGATAATAATAGTCTATTTGAGGGCAATATTCTCCTACTGAACTAATAGAAGCAATAATTAATGTAATGCATGTTATTTTTAAGACAATAGTATTACTGAGAAATCAGGTACATTTTAATCCAATATTCTTAATAGCAACGGATATCAGGGACTTTGCCAATGTAGTAAGCTAGAGTAATACGGCGAATTCTTCCTTCTTCTTTTTTTCTCTTCTCTTCTAATGAATGCACACTGCCTGCCTTCTTCGACTTACTTCCGAGTAGCTTAGTCAACTCTCTAGGGCTTGTAGCGCTTGCCTTGCCGGGAGACCTACGAGCAATCCCCTTGACCTTGTTTTTTCTAGATAAACCTTCCAGGACGGTCCACTTTGGCTTTAAGAGAGACGCTCTCTGGCTTTCCCAAAGAGAGGGAGAGAGAGACCTCCAGCTGCCTCCCACCCCCCAGCCCCTCCCCCCCTCCCAGGGCCAGCCGCCCCCTCCACAGGTGTGCCTCCGGAGGAGCCCCGGCAGCGCCCTCTCCCGGCAGGGGAGGCGTCCAGCTTCCGTTCCCGGCATCTCTCGGAAAGGGTCTCAGGGAGTAGGTGCCGGGGAAGAAAGAGCTTCCGCCGCCGGAGCCTCCGCAAAGCAGGTGGGGCGCTGGGGAACCCCAGGATCGCGGGGGCCCTCCCCCCGCAAAGGATGCGCACCTGTCGGACTGCAGAAGGCTACCTGGCAGGGGGGGCGGCCCCCATCCTCACTATCCGGACTCTGGGGAGAGGGGAAGAATGAAGCCCCTCCTCCCCCACGTAGGGTTACCAGGTCTGGGTTGGGAAACACCTGGAGACTTTGGGGGTGGAGCCAGGAGACGGAGAGGGCGGGGTTTGGGGAGGGGAGGGGCCTCAACGTGGTACAGTGCCATATCGAGCCCACCCCCCAAAGGAGCCATTTTCTACAGGGGAGCTGATCTCTGTCCGCTGGAGATCAGTTGTAAAAGCGGGAGATCTCCAGGCCCCACCTGGAGGCCGGCAACCCTACCCCCCACGCCATTCCCTTCCTCTGAAGCAGAAAAGAAACCCCCCCGCGCCGCCCCTTGCCTCCTAAAGCCACGTGGACGGTCCTCCTTTTTACCTATAAGGCACCTCTTCCTCTTTTAGGTCTTTCCATTTTATGAATAACTTAAGAAGAAAAAAAAGATAAACAGCACAAAAGAATAAAAAAAAATGAATAATACTAAACCTTAATAGAATTCAGGTAGACGGAACTTGTATTAGCCTAGGACCTCCTGTTTTTGTACTTAAAAGATTAATGGATGACGCTACTAGAACGACGACTTCTCATACTCCTGATACGGCTAACTCAATACTCCCGCGGCTAACGCTGAGATTTTTAAGAGAAAAAGACAAAAAAACCACAAAAAAAGAAAAGAAAAGAAGGGCCACCCGGACTGCTGTCTGTCTGCCTGCCCGCCCGCCCGCCCGTCTGTCCGTGGAGAGAGAAGCC